TATCGAAGCTGTTCTTACTAAGAAAACCAAAGTGAACGTCGAAAAGAGAAGAGTAGATTACGTACTTATCTAGAATGAAGTATATATCGAAGGCTCCAAGGCATTTTGGATTAGACTGGCTTGTCGCAAACGAACAGCAAAGAAGAAGAAACGAGATAGATACGTAAATAGACAGTATCTTAACTCGATGGAAAGCCATCTTTGGTGTAATGACCTTGGTATGATTAACGTGGAGGGTTCTTGAGTGCCTTTATAAAGTCAACAGGCAGGGTTTTCCCGCTGATTACTTGAAGCAGTATGATTCTGTATGCTCTCTGCGGTTTACTTCCGTTTCGATAGAGTATGAAAATATTTTATTACCAATGAAAAATGTCCCCTAATCCAAACTGGAAGCGAGCCAAGGCATGTTCGTTTCAATCAGCATCACATGATCTGCATGTGACGTCATAGCCACCATTTTGGTTGACTTAGATTTGGTCTTAAGTGTCTTTTGTCATGATACTTGCTTCACGTTTTGCAGAGCTCTACCTGTTAAAATTTCCGCGCTTTTGGTGCGGTAGTTGTTTAACTCACTTTCCAAATAATCTAATCTCTCAAAGGCAATAGTACATGTCCCCTTCGCGCTTATTGGCCTATGGATTCGCATTCCAGTCATGCCGAGGGTTCAATTGTTAATTCCTTCCTTTTTCCAGTTAAAATTTTAAACTGTTGTAGATCTTTTTGAACAGGCTAAACCACGTAAAAAGCCTTGAACAAGAGGGAGAGAATATATATATAAAGGATGAGAAAGATATGTTGTACATATTGGCGCACATGTTGGCACACGTCCTCAGGAAGGATTAGTACAAATACCACAGTACATTTAACTAAAATACATCCGTGTGCACTTGATATTAGTCAATAGTGGTATTTCTAAAGTAAATGTTGTAAAGTTGATGAAAGATCTGTTCAGATTTGATCTTCAGAGCGGGTACTGAAGCAGCTAGTGGGACACATACATGAGACACGAATACTGCATTTGTTGAAAATTTAATAATTTTCCTAATGAGGCACTCACAACCGTGAAGCACAGTCAGAGATGGGGTGCGGGGACAGAGGTAGAGAGAGCGAGAGAGAGCGAGAGAGAGAGAGAGAGAGAG